AGTTCCTCAGCGGCACCCCCGCTGTTCTGTCTGGTCTGGGCATGCTGGAGTGGGGAGGGCAGTGGATAGGAGCACTCAGAGAAAGGGAGGGTAGAGGAATAAGGATAAAAGGCCTTATTCATGTTTCCCCTGGAGGCAGGCAGCTTTCCTGGGCATAGGAGTGATGACTGCAAAAAATTGCCAGTTCTGAGACAGTCAATTATTGGGACAATGGAGGACATTTGAATACGGACTGTGGATTAAATGCTGGTGTCAAAGTTAAATTTCCTGATTTGGATCATGATTGTGAAAGGGAATGTTCTTAGTTTGGGAAACACACCCTAAAGCTTTGAGGGATGCTATCTTTTAGTTACTTCAAAATACTTCATAGCAGAGAGCAGCAAGTGGTGAGACCACCTCCCCGAGCTGGCCCTGGCCCGGTGCCCACCCTTCCACACAATGCCAGCAAGCACAGGGCAGAGCAGGTCACTCCTCTCTTACAAAACCTTCTGTGGCGCCCCATTGCCTGCCGGTTGGAGGAGTTCAGACACTTTGCACAATTTTCAAGGCCTGCCACAACCTGGCTCAAACCTGCCTTTCCAGCGGCAGCGGGCCACAGCGCTCTTCCACTCCGCTGACCGCAGACCACTGCCCGTGACTGCCTGATGCCTCGAGCCTTCTAGCCCTCTGCCTGAGCTCAGGCTGTTCTCACCTACCTGACCACCTTCCTCCTCTCTAACCTCTTGATCTCACCCTAATGAAATCTTACCTACTCTGTAAGCCTCAGTCCAAATGGATTTTCTCTAAGAAGTGCTAACTTATCAGAATTATCTTTCCTCTGCATTCTGAAAATATTCAACTGTCCGTTATCCACCCATGCATCCATGTCTCCTGCCTTCCCTCTATCTCTCCCGCTGTGTCATATGTTTAAGGATTAAGTGAGGAACGCTGCATGGTCGCTGCCTTCAATTAGCTCTTAGAGGGAGGCAGACACCTAAGCAAGGAACGTTGTAAGTGCTGCCCTAGGGGAAGGGAAATCAGGAAAAGCCTCACAGGGAGCCCAGAAAGTTAATTCCCCTTCAACAGGTGAGGGAGACCTGCATGAACTCTGCTTTGTGCTACATTTGGAATCAAGAGAATAGCTGGTGGTGACAGGCAAGTTGTCCAGCCCAGTTTGTCACCAGTACTGCTGTTGTGTGTTCTTAATAATGCCCCATATTAACATTTTCTTTCTTTTTTTAAATTTATTACTTTTTTATATATTAACATTTTCTTTATGCATGCTTACTTTCTTTTTTTGTTTGTTTTGGTTTGGTTTTTGAGACACAGTCTTACTTTGTCACCCAGGCTAGGGTGCAGTGGTGCGATCTCAGCTCACTGCAACCTCCGCCTCCAGGGTTCAAGCAGTTCTCCTACCTTAGCCTGCTGAGTAGCTGGGACTACAGGCGCATGCCACCATGCCTGGCTAATTTTTGTATTTTTAGTAGAGATGGGGTTTTGCCCTGTTGGCCAGGCTGCTCTCAAATTCCTGATCATTAGTGATTCGCCAACTTCAGCCTCCCAAAGTGCTGAGATTACAGGCATGAACCACAGAACCTGGCATACTTTAAGCATGCTTTCTGTATTCTCATTTGTGTCCCACAATAACTCTGCTATTTATAGATGATGATACTAAGGGTCAGGGAGAGGAAGTGACTTGCTCACATAACCAAGCTAGTTCAAAGCAGAGCTGAGACTAGAACCCAGATCTCCTGAGTTCGAATCCACTGGCCTCTCCTTTATATCTCAGTTGCTTTCTTATATCCACTGCCTCCCTGTTACCTCAGCAGCTGCTGAAAGACCCTCCTTTCCACTAAACTTAACCTTGAGATGGATATTTCTTCTCACTCCAATCAAAATTGGCTGGTTACTGTCCCCTTCCATCCCTGTTAGGGAGATAGAAAGAAATCATGACAGCTTCCCAAGGTAAGTCGGTCATTAAAAAATATTATCTTCCCTTGTGTCCATTTTGTTCAGAAATCCTTACTGGGCTGGGCACGGTGGCTCACACCTGTAATCTCAGCACTTTGGAAGGCCAAGACAGGCAGATCACCTGAGGTCAGGAGTTCAAGACCAGCCTGACTAACATGGTGAAACCCCGTATCTACTTAAAATACAAAAAAGTAACCGGGTATGGTGGTGGATGCCTGTGGTTCCAGCTACTCGAGAGGCTGAAGTAGGAGAATCGCTTGAACCTGGGAGGTGGAGGTTGCAGTGAGCCAAGATCACACCACTGCACTCCAGCTTGGGTGACAAAGTGAGACTCTGTCTCAAAAAAAAAAAAAAAAAAAGACAACAAATAAACAAACAAAAAAAACACCTTAATGGACCGGTTTAAGCTAGCTCCTCCCCATTTTTAGGCTTCAGTTTGTCCATCTGGCCTAGTTGACTTACAGAGTTTCTTCCAGGGATGGCCACTGGTCCGCATTGCTCTTCCTCATTCCCTCACTTCTTTCCAAATTTCTCAGGTGCTCAGCATACACCAGCTGCTATGCCAGAAACTGGGCAAACAGCTGACATGATGGTCCCTGCCTTTACACACATGGGATTACAGCCTTTCCCCTCTAGCCTATTGAGAAGAGTTCTCTTCTATTGAGAACTTGCAACTACAGACCCCAGCAATTGTACATTTTTTCTGGGGATTCTCTTCCGGGCTGGTCATGCTTCAGCTATGTGACCTTAGCCAAGCCATGTAATTCCTTTGGGCCTCCATTTTCCTATTTATAAAGAGGAAAACCATCATTTCCTCCAAAGAGACTTGGGAGGATGAAATGAGCTCACACATATAAAGTAATATAGTGATTTAGAGCTTGGGCTCTAGAGTCACTCATGTGTCAGTTCAAATCCCAGCTCTGCCACTCACTAGCTCTGTGACTCAGAGAAAGTCACTTAGCCTTTCTCTGCCTTTGTTTTCATGTCAACAAAATGGGGCTAATAATAGTAGTCACCTTAAGGGGTTGCTGAGGAGATTAAAGGAGATGTTGCATGTAAGAATTCAGCCCAGCGTCTGGCATTTTATAAGCCCTCAGGCTGGTCCTCTTCCTTTTTTCTTCTTCTTCTGAATTTAATTGTACCCTGTTTATCATTTGAGTAGGTAATTCATGCAAAAGTACCAAAGCACATATAAGAGGTCCTCCTCACATCCCTTTGAACAGTGAACTCTAGGAAGTCTCTGTGTTGCCAGTTCTTCGAACTGTCTTTCTTTGTGTGTGTGTGTGTGTATGTGCATATAAACAAATTTGTTGGCATTTTTTCTCTTTTTTATACAATTGGTGGCTTCCTATATTTAGTGTTTTACATTTTGCTTTCTGCTACCTAATACTCCATTGTAGAGACCATTTCATAGTATACATGAAAAGCTTTCCTACTTTTTCTTTAAGAAGTTGCATTACATGAATACCCCATGGTTTATTTAACCAGCCCAGGGCTGGTGGATGTTTAGGCTGTTTCCAATCTTTTCTTTTTAAAATTTTTATTGAGATAGGGTCTGACTATGTTGCCCAGGTTGGTCTTGAACTCCTGGGCTCAAGTGATCCTTCTGCCTTGGCCTCCCAAACTGCTGGGATTATAGGCATGAACCACTGTGCTGGGCCCCAATCTTTTCTAATTACAAAGAGTGTGGCAGTGAATGTGCTGTCCTTTTGTATTCCTTTCAGCCTCTCTCAGCCCTTAATCATTCACCGACTCCTGTGGAAGAGAGACAGGCCCTACAGACTCAGGCAGCAGTGACTACTGGGCAGATATATGGATACTGGGGTAGTCCTGGGCTGCCACCTGCTGCTGTGCAGCTTGGGGGAGATTCTTATGCTCTCTAAGGCACTACTGCCTGGAAATTTGCTTTTCTAACAAATTTCTAAGTGATGCTAACATTGCTAGTCCAAGAATGCACTTTGATAACCACTGCTCTAAGCCACCCCGAGGGTAATTTGATGATTCCCATCTCATAGTCTTATTGTTTAGGTTACAGTGTATAGCCCCTTGGCATTGTGCTAGCATCAGACTAAGAACTTAATCATACATGTCAGTACATATTACTGAACCCACCCCTCAGCACAAAGAGAAAAGTAAGCCAATGCAGGGATGATGAACAGCGATGGTCAGAGCCTTCATCTATTCTCCAGAGGTTCAGGGTGTGCTGGACCTCCACCCCCAAAGTCTCCTTTAAGACCCAAGTCTTGGAATGCTGGGGAACTCTGCTGAGCTGTCTGCAACGAGAAATCTTCATTTTTCTAACAACTGGCAGTAGAAGAATTCAGGGTAGAAGCCCAACCCAGAGTCCCAGCAATGACCACAGGGATGGATGCTTCTGTGAGCACTGTCCTGTGCCAGCTTGTTCCTGGGTGAAGTGCATTGCACAAGAGGACAGAGAAAGCAGGCTGGTCCCACCCCAGCTCTCACCCCTGCAGCCTTCAAAGGGTCCCTTCCATTTTCAGAGCCTTTGTAATTTGCTCTTATTAACCTTGCTTTGTTCTGGGGTTGGGGGGCTGGTAGAGAACCCCTAGTCAGCCACAGCAGGCCTGGTCATGCCTCCACAGTTCTCTCCTTCCTGCCCTGGGAGGAGAATCCTGGAGTGAAGGCTATTGCTTTGCTCCCTTCCCACGCCATCCTCTCTGCAGGGAGCCAGGGACCAGAGGAGCCTGCCATGGCGGAAGTGTGTGAGTAGGTTAGTCGGAAGGGGGCACTTGTTGCAGTGCCAAAATCGCTGGGCTGGGAGCAAGACTAGGCTAGGCTCTAACTTGTTGGGTGACCTTGGGCAAGGCCTTTTCTCCCTCTGAGCCTTGGCATTTCTTTTTGTAAAATATGGTGTGCTCCAGCTCTGTGCCTGGCACCCCCAACAGTGTCTGGTCCCAGAATTAAGAAGTCAGCAGCATTTTCCCTTGCTCACCTGTGCCCAGCCCCAGAGATGCCGAACTTCTAGCACAGCACCTGCACTCAGGCCCCCTCTACTGTCTGGCACCCCAACCTGCCACCATCTTATCCCAGCCTCCTTCTACCTTTTCCAGCTTGTGTTCCACTCCCCAAGCCTTCCAAGACAACTCACCTCCATGATGCGCTGTACTACTCACTGGCTGTGGGACTTCAGGAGTCACTCAAGCACGGTTTACCCTTGTGTAAAATGGAAATAACACCATGGCAGATAATGAGTATTCAGGGAGATGGTATATGTAGAGTGCTTAGCCCCACACCAGGCTCATGGTAAGCTGTCAGTGACTGTGAGCCATTCTTGTCATTATCATTGTTGTTATTATTTCTAAAACTAAGCAGAACCAGCACTCTGGGTGGACAAACACCCTAGCTCTTGGTTGATTTTCTGTTGTAATGTTTTACCGTTCTGTCCTCCTTTCTGCAGTATCTCAACACCTAATTATCTAGAGAAGACATCCAGTTGTCTGTTGTTTGCTTTCTTTCCATGAAAACACATGGTTTTATTTCTTCCTTCTTTCCTAAAACAGACATCTAAATATTGATAGATATTATCACATTCCTGACAGCCATTGAAACCAGAAAGACTGAGAGGGTCCCAGGACTTAGCAGGGGGAGGCAGTGAATGATCACCTAAGTTAGTATGTAACTACAATTTAGAAGTGTGTTCTAGATGGCATGACAAAGGGAGGAGAGAGCTTAGATGTCTTAAGCTACAGTCTTCTGTAAACCTGGTTGGGCCCCTGAGACTGCTTGGGGTACATTTCACAACAGGACAAAACTGATGCTCCAAGATTTCCATCCCAAGTGTGCTCAGATGAGTTTGGATACAGAGGGTAGGGTGGGGGAGGGAAGTGCAGGAGGGCCATTCTCAGCTGTAGCAGCTACACACAGGACCTGCTGAGTGACTCTGATGACTCATGCGGCCTCTCTGATCTGTTTAGCTTATTTAATAGGGCTTTCCCCTGTCCTAGGAAAAGCTTTTCCTTGTCCTAGGAAAGGCTGGAAAGTCGTCTCACTGAGAGTTGCTCATGAGTGCCTGCATTTATTCCTGAAAGATTCCTGCATGCCTTCCTTAGGCTCTGCCCTGGGGGAACAGTGAACCCATGGACTTGGCCCTTGAGAGGTTCATAACACCAGCCAGCATTTATTGAGCTGTTACCATGTGTCAGGCACTTTGCCTATATTAAGTCATTTTATTGTCACCAGAGCCTTACGAGGACAGTTATTACTATCCACATTTTATAGGCAAGAAAATTGAGGCACAAAGAGGTTTAACAATATCCCAAAATCCCCAACAGTTTGGCTTCCACCATTATACTAAGGTTTCATGAAATAGTCTGGGATCCCTGGTGGGGGCAGGGGTCTCATAACCCTTACACGTGATCCATGAGGTCAAAACATTTTTCATGCTAATACCAAGAACATGTTTACCTTTTTGCTCTCATTCTCTCCCAAGTGCTCAGGGGCATTTTCCAGAGACTGCATCCTTATGATATCACAACAAGCAGCTAGGAGAATCCAGGTGTCTGTGGAAGACATTTGCAAACAGTAAAACAATGTCACTCTTCTCATGATATTTTTACATTGAAAGTATTGTTTAGGACATGGTGGTGTGCACCTGTAGTCCCATCCACTCGAGAAGCTGAGGTGGGAGGACAGCTTGGGCCCAGGGGGTCAAGGCTGCAGTGAGCTATGATTGTACCATCACACTCCAGCCTGGGTGACAGAGTCAGACCCTGTCTCCAAAAAGAAAAAGAAAATATTATGATTATGTGAAACATGTGATGGGCTTATTGCTATTTTTAAATAAATTACCACACACTTATTTACTTATTATTTATTTATTTTTATTTCAACGACTTCAGGGTAACAAGAGTTTTTGGTTACATGGATGAATTGTATAGTGATGATGTCTGAAATTATTACTATTTTTTGAGATGGAGTTTCACTCTTGTTGCCCAGGCTGGAGTGCAGTGGTGTGACCTTGGCTTACTGCAACCTCTACCTCCCAGATTTAAGTGATTCTTCTGCCTCAGGCTCCCGAGTAGCTGGGATTACAGATGGGCACCACTACATTCGGCTAATTTTTTGTATTTTTCACAGAGATGGGGTTTCACCTTGTTGACCAGGCTGGTCTCAAATTCCTGACCTTAGGTGATCCGCTCGCCTTGTTCTCCCAGTGATAGGATTACAGGCGTGAGCCACCACACCCAGCCCAAAGTCTGAGATTTTAGTCTGTCACCCATGCAGTGTACAATTATATCCAGTATGTAAACTACCATGTAAATATTTAAAACACTTTTCTCAGGATTTTGCTTATTTGTTTGTTTTCGAGGCAGAGCTTTGTACTTGTTGCCCAGGCTGCGGTGCAACGCTGCAATCTCAGCTCACTGCAACCTCTGCCTCCCAGGTTCAGGCGATTCTCCTGTCTCAGCCTCCTGAGTAGATGGGACTACAGGTATGCACCACCATGCTCGGTCAATTTTGTATTTTCAGTAAAGATGGGGTTTCACCATGTTGGCCAGGCTTGTCTTGAACTCTGACCTCAGGCGATCCAACCACTTCAGCCTCCCAAAGTGCTGGGATTACAGGTGTGAGCCACCGTGCTCAGCCATCTTCTGTTTTAATTGCTAATAAAGGCAGGGTGTAAAGGGGTTCTGAGATCAAGTGGCTTGAGAACTGCCACATAAGCCTAAAGGGAAATGCTCCCCACTCTTTGGCACATGGGCTCTAATGCTTCAGGAGAGGCCCACTTGAGGTGTGGTCCTGGCGTTGCCTGCCAGTCTCATTAATATGATGAAGTCATAGATTTCTGGATTGTGCTGCAGAGAGCAGCCCATGTCAGAACCAGCTCCCTCGAAAATCAGTGCTGTGATTCAGAGCATCTGTCTTTGTGACTTGCAATATGGGACTTAAATTTTAAATGTCTCTGTGCTTCCCTTTCTACAGCTTCCTGAGAGCTATGCCAGGTCTCTCTATGTCAGCAGCCCCTCCAATGTCTAAGATGATTCCCTCACAATTTGAAACACACCCCCACCTGAGCCCTGCAAAGTAAATTTTGTTTCCTATATAGTATATACTTTATACAAAATGTTTGCAAACATTCCCTCCAAATTTGGTGACAGCCCATCAAGTCACTCACTCTCCCTTGATGTGGTGACAGCTAGAAACTAAGTAGTGAAAATGAAGGTAACAATAGCATCAGGGATTCAGTAGGCGCTGATGGCATGGAGTCAGATCTACCACATGTTTGCAAAATCCGTTATATGTGTCCCTTGCTGGGGAATCTTGTTTCCTGCATGGCATTTTTAATGTAATCTTTCATATTAACTTTTAGATCGTCCTCTTCATCTGGAGCTCCAGAGAAAGCTTCTTGGAGGAATTCTAAAGGACATATATTCTAGAAGGATTTCGTTACAGAAATATTAAATTATGATCTGACATAGGGAGGATTCTAGCTTTTCAGTGACTCCGCAAAGGATTCTTCGAAAGACACATAAGCTACATTTTTCTGCTGTATTGGATAAATTACTACAGGCGCTGGGTGTGCTGATTTTCCACACCAGCTCCCCACAGAGCATTCTGTATCACGCCTGGCAACTCTGCTTGTGCTTGGCTCCATTTTGAACTTTGTAACCCATTCAGAGGCTGGCCTGAGAGTGGATCTTGTTTTGGAAGCTCACAATGGCATGATGTCAAAGGAATGAGCCTCTGATCCGACCTGAAAGGATAGTGCAGACCACAGATTTCTGCTTCTGAATCAGAATATTCCTATGTGATCCTGGCTGAACTGTTAGACATTCTAGAGCTTCGGTCCTCAGCAGTCAATAGAAAAAGAAATCTATCCTTCTTACCCTCACAGCATTGTTCTGAGGACCAAATGAGGTAAAATACTCTGAAAAACAGAAAGCTCTTGTCATCGCTGGAGGCTTTTGAGCATGCTGTTCTCCCTACTTGGAACCTGCCCCATCCTTCCCTGTAGCTGTATAACCCCAAATCATCCTATGATATTGCTAACTCTGCTCTAGTCACACGGGTCTACCCCTGCAAACAGCCATCTCAGGCCTTTGTACCTGCCATTCCCTTTGCATGCAATGCTCTTCCCCCGGGACTGCATAGCTGGCTCCCTGACCTCCTGCAGAGAGGTTTCTGTTCAAATATCACTTTATCGAAAAGACATTTATTTTTAAAAAAGTTTTTTTATTAGACAGGGCTTCACTCTGTTGCCCAGGCTGGAGTGCAGTGGTGTAATCATAGCTCACTGCAGTCTTGACCTCCTAGGTTCAAGCAATCCTCCTGCTTCAGCCTCCCACATATAGCTAGGATTACAGGCATGCACCACCATGCCCACCTAACATATATGTAATATACATACAAAATACATATGTATAATATATATAATATATAGTATATTCATATATATACACTATATATAATACTATATTCATATATAATTATATATAATAATATAAATAATATATGTATAATATATACTATAGATTATGTATAATATATAATATATATGTATATTATACATATACAAAATATATATGTATAATATATATATAATATATATGTGTGTGTGTGTGTATATATATATATATATATATATATTTTTTTTTTTTTTTTTTACGGAGTCTCGCTCTATCACCCATGCAGGAGAATCACCTGAAATCACCTGAACCCAGGACACAGAGGCTGCAGTGAGATCTCAGCTCACTGCAGCCTCTGTGTCCTGGGTTCAGGTGATTCTCCTGTTTTAGCCTCTCAAGTAGCTGGGACTACAGGTACCTGCCATCATGCCTGGCTAATTTTTTTTTTTTTTTTTGTATTTTTAGTAGAGATGGGGTTTCACCATGTTGGCCAGGCTGGTCTTGAGCTCCTGACCTCAAGTGATCTCCCCACCTCAGCCTCCCAAAATATATATTTAATATATTAAAAAGTATATATTTTTTTGTAGAGATGGGGTCTTGCTGTATTGCCCAGGAAGTCTCAAGCTCCTGGCCTCAAGTGACCCTCTTGCTTCAGTGATCCTCCCCAGATGCTGGAATTACAGGAATGAGCCACTGCACTCACCCAAAAAGGCCTTCTCTAGACTCGCTATATGAATTAGCATCCATTCCCTGGGAGCTCTCCTCTCTATTCCTCTTACCTGGCATCAGTGTTCTTCACAGCATATATTTCCACCTGATGCATCATATTGGTTTACCTGATTGTTTGACTTTACAATGTCAGTTTCACAAGAGCTGAGACTCCTTTGTTCTGTTGTAATCTCAGTGCTTAGAACTTGGCGCACATGCCCCCCACCACCAAACAAAAAAGAAGGGAGACTAGAAAAAAGTAATCAGCAGACAGCTATGGCAGAGTATGGGAAAGGGAGGGCTGGGTGAAAGAGATTTCAGTGGGCCAACCACACAAAACAGAGAACAGGGGACCCCATGTTCCCTGCTGTCCATCCCTATCTCCTGGCTTAGATGCATTAGAGCAAAGCCTCAGTGTAATTATGAGCATTTGGATTGTTTACTCCTCGTTAACCACCCTCTTTGCTCACTTAATTGGTCCAAAGCCTGTGGCATGAGTAACTAACTGTGTAGCAATTTGGCACGTGGTTAGCCAGCAGCGGCAGCCATAATTGCACAGCAAGTACTGCATTCACACTAAGTGGGCAGGCCCCATGCAATTCTCACACAGTGATGGAGCTCAGACAGGCGGCTGCTGCTGCCTCCAGCACCTTTGATGTCCTGACAAACACACCCATGGGACTTGCTCAACCAAAGGATCTTCACTCTTGGCTTCTTACGGTGCCCAACTAGTCTCCCAGGTCCTGTGCTGTCTGAGCATCTTACACAAATGGGCAGAGAAATTCACGCCCCTGGTTTACAGGGAACTAAATCCAGGTTGCGAATGCACAGCCTGGCCTCTGCCTGCCTGGCCACCTCCCCTCACACCTCTCCTCCTTGGGTTGCTCTGGTGCACTCATCTCCTGCCTGCTTTCCTGTAAAGGTCGTGCCTCAGGCCCTTTGCACTAGCTCTTCCCCCATATCTTCACACGGATACTTTCTTATCCTGTGTGTATCAGCTTATATGGATAAGTGAGAGAATTGCATGGCTGTGGGCAAGTCCTGGTCCCTCTTTGAATCTCCATTTACTCATCTGACAAATAAGTAGATGGATTCAACCTTTATACTCTTTTCACATGGATATTTTATGTCTGAGTATTGTGCTAGTCATTGAATGAGGCTGCAAAGATATTTGAAGACTGCTGGGCACTGAGCTCTGGGGGTTAAGTAGAAAGTAGTAAGGAAATAAAAGAGAAACACTACCCTCAAGGGGCATGACTGGAGAAGACTGACAGGCAGTAAACATACACACAAACAAATAAGATAATTTCTGTTATTGATAAGTGCTCTGAAGATAAAAATAAGGGAGTATGGCTGGGTGCTGTGGCTCAAGCCTGTAACCCCAGCACTCTGCAAAGCCAAGGCACCTGAGGTTGGGAGTTAGAGACCAACCTGACCAACATGGA